ATGTAATGTACGTCCAAAGTGACTTATCCTATTGCTAATTGTAGCAATTAGCTTCCATTTCTAAAGCTCCATAGCCTGCATGGTGTTTTGCAGAGTTGTGAAGGAGGCATGGGTACTGCACTGAATAATTTATGCTCCAAATTACATAAACACATAGACAGCATATCTTAATTTGCTAGATTAGCTGCTAGTAAGATCACTTTTGATAGGCTCATAAAAATATCTAATAGTAGAAGAATTATGCAGTACATAATCCATATGCTTCACAAGGAACACAGGGAAAATGTGACCTGTGGAAAAAAGCCTAAAAGTAGGAACGACTTTCTTTATACTGGTACACTCTGCCTCAGCCCAAATTAATCAACAACCTCTACACTTCAGCTTTTAACAAAAACCCATTACCAAGAACTAAACAGATTCCTTCCCAAAATAGCTGAATTCTTTCTGTATGTTTATTTCAGCATAAAACCCCTCTCTTCCCAGACACAAACCTGAAATATTTTTCCTCGCAGGTATCTGCCTGAAATGTTCTACCAATAGTTTCAATAAAGGCAAAGCCCTTAAACGTTCTCTCAATTAGCCAGCCTTCAAATATTGTCTCAGTTAGCTATAACTCAAACCATAAAGAAGTTATTAGACAGAAATCACTTCAATCCCATCTGGAAGAGTACAGGAAAGTCTATATATTGTTTGGGAAAGAGGCATTATATATTCATTATTGTTGATAGCAATAAATGAGCAAGAAGTTACATTTTGATTTTTTCAAGGCTTCGATGCTCACTGATCATATGCAATCAATTAGTGGCCAGAAATGTAATAAAACATAGAAAGTACTTGGAGGAGAAAAGATAAGGACACAGAATGTGATTTGGAGGACCAGTTCAGAATACAGAAACCCATCTGAAACTAGAAAATAAAGACTCCATTTCTTAGTAGAGGACAAACCTACCGATTTTATCCACCCAACTCCCCCTCTTTCTTTTCAGCTTTTTTCATATGAGGGCCAGCTAGTTAATACTGAACAAAGGTCAACGCCAACTAGACCTTGAGAAACAAATGGTTCAATAAACATCACTGCAAAGGAGAAAAGGGAGACCAAGAGCTACTTGTAAATCACAGAGAGGTTACAAAACAGCCTATAACGTTTTATATTCTGAAGTGGCTTTTATCAAGCTTCCTGTGCTGATAATCTCTGGCAATGTTTTTTCTCTGAACTAACTTTGCAGGCCACAAGTCTCAGTTAGTCCATTTACTGTAGACCTATCTATCAGAAATGGAACATCCATGAGGAAAAGCTGTCAGAGGGGATTAAGAAACACTTTCTAGGTCAGTTTCCGTAGGATCATGGAGTTTCCTCCTGTGCTAGGGTCCTCCAGATGATCTTCAGCTTTGCTCACTGAGCTTCTCAAAGCATTTGGGGGCATCCTGCTTTGTAAGACTTACATGGCTGAACTTACAAAGAATTATTAGCAGACCTTTTCAATGCTTTTTCACAAAAACTGAAATGGTAATTAGTTCTCCTAATTGAATGAACATTCATTAGACTTCTACTAAATACATTACCTAATAACATTCTCAATCTTGCCAGTTACTGTCATGTCTTCACTTTCCCTTTTCATGATAAGACTAATAAGCTAAACTCACAGCATACAAGCCCACAGCTCACTACTGCATATATTGCATGTAGTCTTTTCTATATAAATTCTTCAATCACAAGCCATACAACAAAAAATAGTGTGTTGCTCTAGCAAGTATTACATTTTGCCAGATCATAATTAAATTGTTCCTTAGATGGGGCACTTAGTGCTTATGAAGAATCATTATACTGAATAACAGGGCTAATATTTTAACTAAATTGACACGCTACTGTTCAATAAAGAGGTATACACTACTGTAAATTCCTCTTCTATGGATAACATCAGCTATAAGACAGAAATACTGCAGCTTTTTCCAGATAATTCATGTGTACATTTTTTTCCCATGTAGATTGCATGCGTTATATATTTTAAAAAGTGGATTAAAGTATGTGACATACTATTATTCTTTGGAACAAATGTATTTATTTTATATTGCATTAGGCATAAAATATTTCACTTCTATACCATACAAACCTGCCAGAGACTATGTTTCAGTAGGCCTAAATATGCACGAGAATCCCATGGTGAGGAAAGAATTTTTCCTTTATGTCTTTTAATTCTGTACTGTTGTGAGTTTGATTTATAATACTGGTTGGGGCAGAAGGAGTTTTTGGATGAAGAAATTACATCTACTTACAATAGAAGTATGGTTCCTTCTCCATGGAAATTACCTGCCAAATTGCTCAGATGACTTATTCTTCTCATTCTTCAGTTCAGTATTTCAATTTGATTGAATTATATTTTCCTGGAATCTTTCACTAATAATTTAAAAGTGACACAAATGTATAAATGTCTGTATTTCTGAAGATAATCAAGTTGTGTCATTCCAGTATCAATTTGTAATATATTGCAAGGTCATTTTTTCTTTGGTTCTTCACACTGTTAAATTGGGATCCTGACATTCTTTGTAATGTTCTTTACAATCATCTTCCATTCTTGATTTATTTCCTGTATATTCATTCTTGATTTATTTCCTATATATTTAAAGATGCTTGTGAATATTTTATTTTATCGCTACTACTCTTTTAACCTGTTGCAGTTATACCATGGATGACGCCCACTGCATAACGGACAGGGGTTTTTTTTACTCTTTATGGAGATACGAAAACTATGTAGTTTAATAACGACGTTGCAAAATTATTTTTTGTTTTAAGAATTAGTATGTGCATTTATAGCACATTTATAGCAACTGGAGCGTACCACGTATCAAACAGCTATTTCTCATGTAGGTTTGCTAAAAACCATACTCCCACAGTTTCACAGCACTTTCCATACTTTTTCTATCACTGATACTATACAAGTCACTGAATAAACAAACAAAAATATCTTTAAGGTGATGGAAAACCTGGGAGGTAAATCACAGTACATACACACCACATGTCATCTCCAACTGTAACATCAGAAAAAGGCCATTTTTATTTCATGAGATAGGCAAGACAATCAGAAAAGGAAAAGAGCAGAATTACATTGCATTACTCCAGATATGGAGTTGGAAATTACATGGTACAAAGAAAGGAGTAAATAGGAGATGGAGTGAATAGGAAAAAAAATGAATACAAGTTATCTAAGGAGGAGTTAGTTAACTGGGTCACATGAAATATCTTGTGTTCTTTTCGCATAGATCACCTAGTAAAAGCTTGTTAATGGGATGTACTATAAAGTGTGGCATATCTCCATATAGAAAATCACAGTAGATTCATACCCAAGTCTAATGGAATTTGGTAAGTTAAAATTAAAATGATTATTCTTACCTTTAGAGTGAGAAACAACTTTTCTGAGCAAAACATAGAAGTAGTCATATTTAGAAGCAACCTACAAATGGCACCAGCTGAAGTACATTTCACATATCATGTGATGTTATAATTCTTATTATTTATCTGCATTTATAATAGGGTTACAAATCCTGCACAATAGATAAGAACCCTGAAAGTCACCCTGATATAAAATAAACTGAAAGTTATGGAAAATTGATTACTTCAATTTTGGATTCAGCAAAACAGAAGGTCATAAGAAAGTTCAACAGCTTAAAGCCTGTAGTGACTGAAGAAAATTGGAAGGCATGGGGCTGACCATCTGGCAGAAACGTGCTGTTGAGGAGGCCTAATGGATAACCATTATAGTTAAACTTTTGATAAATCTTCTAGATAGACAGGACAACAATTGGTTGACTCGGATACAGAGGGTCAAGCAGTGACCAAAAAATCTTGCCAAAGCCTTATTTAGGTGTTTAACTGTCTCAGTTAAATGAACAGCATTTTGTCATAGTGTGAAGTTGCAACAAAGGAAATTCTGATAAGGTATTAGGGAAAAATATTTACAATAATGCAGTCAAATATTGGAACAGGCTGCCCAGAGAGCCTGTGGAATCCTCACTGAGATACCAAAACCTTCACTGGATAAGGCCCTGAGCAACCTGTTCTGAGTTGGTCTTGCTTTGAGCAGAGGGGTTGGACTTCCAGAGTCCTCAGAACCCAATTTATTCTATAATTCCATGAACTGTACAACCAAAATAACAAAAAAAGATCATTCTTGAAGATCTCAAAAGAACAGCATTCTGCAGTACATTGACACAAAAATGAAAGCTTATCATAAATTAATCTGTCATAGCTCCACAGCTGGAAAATGGCAAAAAATGCCAATAATAATTTAGTTTCTTCTAAAATCCTGAAGGGAACTTAAGGTAAAATAAGATTTTCAATGTAGTTCCACAGTCCATGCAGGAGGCTGGACAATACAGCAGGAGTGAACAGGTCAGTAGTCTCAAAATTGTTAGCATGGCCTGAGAAATCTAATTTCATCTGTCATTTACAAACCTAAGCTAGTAACCTTTAACTGTACTTCTAAAAGTACAGTTTAACTGTACCTTTAACTGTACTTCTGAGTACTTCTAAAATACTCAGAAGAGAATTCTCTTTCCTTGTGCCTCTCTCCTCTGAATTAATTGCATATGACTTCCTATTCAGTAACAAATGCAGAGGAAAAAAACTGAAAATCTCTTTTCAGCTTTCTGAACTTTACCACATTGAGGCACTATTTATCACTATTGGTTCAAGATACAAAACACAATCTAGAAATAGGCTGACACCAAACAGAACCATGAATACTGAAAACAAAAAAGGAAAAGATGTTCCGCTCCAATCTGATTCATAGCATGTCCCCCCTCCTTTTACACCAGTGGCCACTTGGAGCAGAACTTCTTAAGCTACCTCAAGAGTTTCAGACACTCAAAAGAAATACTTCTGTACCAATTCCATATACTGAAGACGTATTAAAAGACGTCAAGTCCGTAGCATTTTTCTGACCCTCTTCTGCTGCTTAGCTCAATAATGCTGAAAAATATTAATGTAACAAATGAATGATTACCTCCTGAAGAACCCTCTTCATTTTCAGCAGCAACGTCTTTACAGCTGTGCAGTCCTGCAGCATCAATCTGAAGGGCAAAGATTCAATGCCTCCTCCTTCCTCCAGACCAGTAAAAGGCCACTCCACCGATGGGCTGCCAGCCAGCTGGCTAACACGAGGGTACCTGGCTTCTCCGTGGTCCACCTCCTTTGATAGCTTCAGGGATAGGTTCCTTACAAGAGAAAACAGAAAGATCAATGTTGAAATATGAAAAGGAAAAAGAAACAATGGTTTTCAACTTTTACTTCCTCTGGGTTTAAAGAGGCATTACACATACACTTTTTGAGACTGCTACCATGAATGGCCTTTATAATGTACATATAACCATATGGTCTTAGCAATAAAATACGCATTTAGAAAAGTGTCATTTTTTACAGGATTTGAAACCAAGCTCTCTCCCATGCCCTTCAGAAGACAGCCATTCTCTTAAAACAAAATACCCTATGGGCCAGACTGCTATGGGTACATCTTGCCTCAGTTCTGCTTTATGAGAAAATGAGTAATGGAACAATCTGCATGCACTTTCAAAACTGTAATCATGTGCTTCCGTATGCTTTGACTCAGGAACTCAGAAAGAAAGAAAAACTACCGAAGAAACTACTTTCTTCTGGACTGGCCTAATGGCCATATTATTCTATAAGCTGGAATTTGAAATGTAATTAATCTTCACTCATCCTTAAGTTTAGTTACCATTGAGGTTATTTAAGTAGAACATGACATGAAACAAGATTAGGTTTTGGCTGAGATCCCATTAAAGACAATGGAAAGTTCTTAACAGATCTTGATGGTCTTTGGAGGTAAAGGCATACCATTATTATGCTTTTTGCACCTGAAATCCTGTTCTACAGCCATACTAACTTCCACTAATATCAGAGTAAGGCATCTATAAAAAAGACTTTAAAATACTGGAGCAAGGCCAGTAAGATCATTATGGGGCTACAGCACATGACATATGAGGAGAGCCTCAGAGAGCTGGATTTATTCAGTCTTCAGAAGAGAAGGCAGAAAGGAGGCCAAACACAGGGACAGGGGCCCAAGGAGCTGCAGGACTTCCATCTGTGGAGATATTCACAATGCAACTGCATAAGGCCCTGAGGAAACTGCTCTAACTGGACCTGCTTCAAGCAGGAGCTTGGACCAGAGACCTGCACAGGTCCCCTCTCAACCATGTGAATCTGTGGTCTAGAAGATTGCAAAAACTCAGTCAAATGATTAATAATGGGGGAACAATTTAAAAATAGATTACTTGACATTTTGGTGAAACACAAAATAAGTAAAAACACTGCAGATATTTCTGGCAAGAAAAGCATTCAAAACTACCATTTTGCATCTGTTTTCTCTTTGACCAGTGGGAGAAAGGAAATAAAAACCTCAGAAAATAAATCTCAGAATGTGGTTGCATTGTGTAATAATGGTATATTAATTATTGCTAAATTACAAAAGGATTGTAACAGCAATGCATATGACACCCATATTTGTACTAATTTAACTCACTATAATTAAAGGTGTTAGCATAGGTGGTGAAGAAAATGAATATTATTCATTTAACGTATAGCTCCAATTTTCTGTCCATTTGAAATTGCATGCAACACAAAACTTTGAATCTGAATTTCATGTATTGCCATCTTTTGGAAGAACACAGGATGTTTTTCCATGTGCACTTTACTTTAAAGTTAACTTTCGTTCCAAAAGAACTACATGCAAAAACAGGATTAATAAGACTTTTTAAGACAAAAAATTCCCAATGCCATACTAATAAATGGTAAATGAGGCTACTAGAATTATCTTTTATGGATGGTTCATTTTTATATGCCACCAACTATGTAATGTGCAGTACGGACAATGTGTTAAATCAAGGAATGCACTAAAACAGCTCACTGATCTGGACAGATGCTCATAATGGACAATAGAATTTTCTAATCCCGGCTTTTCAAGAGTTTCGGTGAAGGATTAAATTATTCTGTTTCTAATTTTTTAAACGCACAAACAACTTTGTGAATAGCAAATTTTGTGTCCTTTACAATGATAATCTGAGGTGGATGGTAAAACTGCATGAGACTGAAGGATATTAAGCTATTGCCGATTCATGGCCTTTATTAAAACAGCAGGTACAAATCATGCAGAGGGAAAAAACAGCCCTTAACAGAAGTTTCCTAACCTAAACCAATTTTAAGGGTTTATTAAAAAAGTCATAGTCAAACTACAGGAATCTAAACTTCAGTAAGATTTATGTAGCCAAAAAAGAACATTATTTGAGTAAGGTAAAATAGAACTAGGTCTATTTCTTTCCTGCCTGATGCCTGCAGGCTGGGAGATGAAATATTGCTTAGAATGTTCCCCATCTTCACATTGTGAGTGCCTGCAAAAGTCGCATCTTCCTCATGCTCCTGAAGAGATATCTTGTGTGGATAACATCCTGACACCGAGAAAGAACCCACTGAGATGTAACATCTCCCGGAAGGAGTCTTGCACAGTGCGTTTCTCAGGGAGAAGAACCTGGCATCAACAGCAATAGCCTGCTCCCCTTATGACCAGAGAAATCATCAGTACACTTGGAGAACTATCACCTTCTGCTAGATGGAAGAGATGTAGTATTTATGTATGAGCTATAAATGCAGTGAACATTCAGCAGATCTTAATTTCAGTTGAAGGAAATACTTTCAATGACTTCAGTGAGCTTTACATTGACATCCCACTGCTGAACACATGAAAGTATTGTCTTTTTAAATACAGAATCTTGTACGAAAATATGAAGGGAACTATAATAATACATCAAAACTCACAGTTATAAGAGCTAAGAATCTAGCTTGTTTGCTACTAGATAAACTAAAGTCTACGTACATTTGGCACATAGTTAACGCACAGATCATATGGTATCTCTGCAGTATCTGAACAGAATATAACTGATCTGTGACAGAAAAACTCCTCACTATTTGATACAACTGCTTCTACTTGCTGCAGGAAAAAGCTAATTTGAAGTTCATTCCACAACTGATTTTTCATCAAGTTATCATTAACAATGTCTAGGTTGCCTATTACGGTATTATTATGGTAATCCACTGCAATCCATCTCAAAGCAGCAGTAAGGATTTAACAGAAAAAAAGTTCTTACTATAATTAGGAGTTTCCCCTTATTAGTAAAACATCTCTTTGCCTCTGAATTTGGGGAAGGGGCAAGTTCCTTGACCGTCAGTGGCAGGAGCTGCTTAGACGGCCAACCCCCTCCACCTTCCAAAGCAGCATTTACTGGAATCAAAAAAATTTCACAAGCGTGTGTTAACGGTGACAAACTTTCTGAACTGTGGATGAAAAAAACTCAAAACGTCTGTTTAATGACAATATTGATTCTTTAATATTATCAAAAGAAAACGTTTCAAAAAAGCAGTTTAGCCACTTTTGAATATATGGCTCCTACCTGGGCTCTAAATTTGCCTGTCACATGCACACACTTAGGCCATACTAGTTACTTATATCATTCCAGAATATATTCCTCAAAGCAGGAAGTCAGTAGTCCTGATAACATTAGAGTGATTCCTGAAATGGCTCGATCCATCCCAACTATCACTCTTCCAAATGATTTCCAGGCATGGTTTGGTTGTCAGCACAGAAGGTTTGGATGTGACCACTCCATTCTGGAGGTGAGAGTCAGTGGTGTGGATCGAGCCATTTCATGCTCTTTGGGCTAGCTGCTGAAGAACAATCCCGCGTGCGTTTGCTAGTGTAGTTATCACCTCAGATTCCCGATCCCAGCTGCAGTACTCCTCACCCTGAGGCTTGAAACCCAGCTAGACCAGTAGGCCAGAGAAGAGGCAGCCTGCTCTGGCAAGCCCTGGTATGAACTGTGGATGCAGTGGCAAATCACAGCTGAGATCAGTGGTAGGAAGCTGCTCTTCATGTCTTCCCAGGTGTTAGCCTCGACTTTCCAGACAACACGTGGGACAACCTCCATGAATGTCCCTTAGTCGTTTCATTCCGTGGCGTGTCCCTCACCAGTCTCCCCGTTTTGCCAGCTGTGTGCAATCTAGCCATTAGAAGGATCATTTTGTCAAAAGCTATGCCTTGACAATCATGCCCTACTAGTTAACTTCAGAAGCAAACACATTGTGTGTGTTAAAAAATGCTACTTGCATATGCAAAGAGCGGCATTTGAAGCATGTGATTCTGCTACTTCATTTGATGAAAACCAGGCACAGTCTGATAGAAAATACACTTAAAACACTGCCCGCTCCTCTAGATCAATGTCCTAGGATCACAGGATATTCAGGTTGGAAGGGACGCCATCTAGCCCAAATACCTGCTCAAAGCAGGGTCAGCCTAAAGCCTGTGCCTGTAGCTACATATTACATCTAAGCGATCTCCAAATGGTAAATGAGAAAAGTAAACTTAATGACAGTAAAATTAATGTCATCTGAAAATTGACAGAAATTTTGTTACAAATTTCTAAGCGTGGAAACGTGCAAAAACCTGTGCAATTTGATGGTACTTCGGGCCTAGTGGCTTGTTTCTATTTTATCTGGACAAACTTACCAAATATCGTAAATATAATTCCGTATTTCAAGCTACAATATCCACATTGAGCAGAGTGATAGTGCCACTAAGGCAGAGTAGGTTCTATTTCAAAAGCAAACTTTATTGAAATAGTGAGATTGCATAAAAATTACCAGAGAAGCTTAGCATTTTTAAGAGCCTCCATAAATCCAGTGCAACTGCACGTTAAATAACTGAGGAAGAGACACAACTGTGCAGCTCCTTTCAAAGCTTCTTTCCCATTCGAAAGTAAAACAAGAACAAATTTCCTATTCCAAAGCATCTTTAAGGGGTTTTACTGCAAGAGAAAAAACTCAAAGATTTGCACCTTGAGCTAGTTGGAGCTGTTTTTTTTTCTTTCTTACTGATCCTCAAATCAATAATTTGAAGACTTTATGCTAATTTGAACTTCACTTACATAAAGATCCCCAGATTATGTGGAGTTTAATCTTCTTAGTTTTCCTCAACAGTGCTCAAGACGTTGGCATAACAGAATTAGCCTAAACTTAATACAATTGGTCCCATAGACTCTGCACCTCTTGATATCAGCTTAGCAGAAGAGAGGTATCTAGCACTGTGTGCATCAGGAAAGCTCTACAAGCAGAGCAAACGAGCCCAGCCTGTAGGAGAAGAGCTGAACATACT